CCCCCCCCCCCCCCCGCCCTATTTATTCCGAATTAGAACTGAATCTGCTTGAGAAACATCAGCCGGAGAAATGGTTCACCCTGTTAATGCTAACTAGCTAACTGTTAGCATATTCTTCCAGCTCGATGCTTTCTAAGCAAGCCGAAGAGAGCTCACGACGTTAACGACAGAACTTTTAAAGGCTTGTTTATGTCGGTTATATTTCCCCAGTAACAAAGACACTACAATTCGACATTTCCGAATCAAGTGTAGCTAAAACGTGTCTACAGGTAACATGCATCATGGCTCTGCTAACGTTAACTGGGACAGCGTTCTGAGAGGGTGGTTGGGCTACAGAGCACAGTACAACCTAACGCTGAATGACCGCTTCACTTTAACGGAATTATTCATTTACACTAAGATCTAAAAACTCATCTGTTCAAGGAGTTAAAGTTATCTCAAAATGACCATAACTAGCTAGCCAGCTAGCGTTAGCTGCCCCACTCACCTGTACTTTCTGCCATTTCTGGGACCTTTTCAAGGACAATTACAAACCCTATATTCGCACTTTAGATTAGATTTGATTCAATTCCGGCAACCGGCGCAAGAAACGTAAAAAATATTGGTGAATACTTAATATCCAGTGTTTCACACAGAAGATGGCTAGCCAAAATCTGTCTGGTCCGCTCTCTAAACAGATTCTTCTTTGCTGCTTTGTAACAGTTTGCAACGTTATAACGCACCACCGCCCCCTGCCGACTCGGACATAGAAGCTTTGATCTGAGCATTTTGTAAAAGGTAAATGGCACTACTTCAACACATGCACATCTCCAGTAATATAAATAATGCCTTAACTGAGCAATTACAGTGTAGCTCCTTTTGTCTTCACCCTGTAGGCTACACGGCACTAAAGACACAACACAAGCAGCTGTCACCTGCAGAAGTCTGATCATACTGCTATTGATGGACGTGTATCAGAAAGAAACGATCAGGAATACCGGGAGGTCATTGCTGACTTTATCGACTTTATCGAGTTAAACCAGCTTCACATGAATGCCAGCAAGACAAAGAATATGGTGGTTAACTTCCAGAGGAAAGCACCCCAGACTACAATGGTGAACATCCAAGGTTTGGACATTGAGAGGCTAGGAACCTAAAAATACCTGGGCGTTCACCAGTCCTGTTTATTCAACAATAAACTGGACTGGTCAAACATCACAGATGGCTTATACAAGAAGGGCCAAAGTGATCTTCACCTGCTGAGGAGACTGAGGTCCTTTGGTGTGTGCAGGACTCGACACTGTGGTGGCATCTGCCATCCTTTATCCAGTAGTCTCATGGGGAGCTGGAAGCACAGAGAGGGACAGGAAGAGGCTGAATAAACTGGTCAGGAGGGCTAGTTCTGTCTTGGACTGCCCTCTAGAGCCCATAGATGATGGGTGAGAGGCGGATGTTAGCCAAGCTAACATCAATCATGGACAACACCTCTCACCCCCTGCATGACACTGTGGGGTCCCTGAGCAGCTCCTTCAGCAGCAGACTACTGCACCCTCAGTGCAGGAAGGAGCGACACTGCAGGTCCTTTATCCCAGCAGCTGTCAGACTTTTAACTCAGAAACAATACCATAGTCACTTTTATACCATAGTCACTTTACTTTTCTGGCACTTCTTGATACCAGCACTGTATAGTCCTTCTTTGCTAAATCATTGCTGTATATATATATATGTATATATTTTTTGTCCGGTGAAATTATCTATTTATTTCGACAATATGCCATTACCTACTTCTGTAACCTGTGCTTTATTCTATTCTAACTTAAATCACATCTGTATAAAAATACTGTATAGTTATTAGGGCCGGAGCACTGACCAGTGCAAGGATCTATTGTATTTCAAGGAATTATTACAATTGGCCCCTGAGGGGCCAATAAACAGTATGTCTTGAGGTGGTTATTTTCAGTGTATTTTATCCAATCTGCACCAAACTTCACATATTCTGTAACAGTTCCCACCTGAAACGTCCTTTCAATAACTTCAGTGCACATGGTCAAATCTCAATGAAACTTCACATGTTTAATAAGAGTCTGTCCTGAACACATTGTACAAGACAACATAAATATACAATATATACATATATAGTAGTTAAACTCAAAATAGATTAATATTAGGTGTGGTTTGAAGTAATGGTTATGGATATAATATTTGCAAAAAAGCATTGGTAGTGGGCGATAAACAATTCAAAAACAAGACTATGTCTCCTAATATGAAGGAATAACGTTGAATAAAAAAGAAGCTACTTAAATATGTATGATTGTTAAAAATTATTTTAAAAAAACATAATACAGACAGAGAATTGGATAAAAAGTTCCCTAAACAAGAAATAATCTGCTCAAAATTTGGCTCTAAACTTCACTTGACTGATAAGAGTCACGCCCCTGTTTTTTAAAGTGAGGGCCGCCAGGGGGTGCCAGTGGGACGGAAAAAATAAAAAAGACACTCATTAAATGTGTATGATTGTTAAAAATTATATATAAAAATACAGACAGAGAATTGGATAAAAAGTTCCCTAAATAAGAAATAATGTGCTCAAAATTCATCCAAATCACGTTTACACAAACTGTTAGTTACTGAGTTCACTGTTTGGGTTCACTGTATGGATAGAACATAATATTAAATATCTATAAAATATGTCACTTAATCAGTTTATTAAATGATAGAAAAGGGAGCCTAGGGAAGAAGGTTGGGAACCACTGCCCAAAACACTGTAAAAACAGATAAGTTAATTTAAAATAAAACAATTGTTGAAACTGATTACATTTACATTTTTGAGTACAACTAACTCAGTTTTGTAAATTAAAAACACATTCTTGAACAATTTGCTCTAGTAATTTTAAGTGACACTGACTTTGACTTTGTCATTTTTACTCTGAAAACAAAATACAGTAATTCATCAGGAAAGTTTCTGTAACTTACAAAACTCTCAATTACAGTTACTAGTAAAAGCTGCTTAATCAAGATTTGGATAAAAGTTTGTGTAAGTTTTTTTCACAATTTTCAATGTAATCTGTTTCAACAATTCTTTTAGTTAAAATGGTAAATGGACCTGTACTTGTATAGCACCTTTCTAGTCTTCCGACCACTCAAAGCGCTTTTACACTACGTGCCACATTCACCCTTTC